TTTTTTTTTTTTTTTTTTTTTGTTATGATTTTCTTAATCATCAAATAAATAATCATTACTAAATCGATGAAGGCTGTGAATACAACTGTTTCGCAAACAGTTTTATAGGTTTTTCTGCACGAAATGTCAACAGATAGCAAAGTGTTGTCACTTTGACTACTGCATAAAATATGCAAAAAAAAAAAAAAGGAACGAAAAAGAAGAAAGTTTTAAAATATATTTTTTTTATTGTTCTGTTCAGTTGGTATACATTTAACTAAATGCTCAGACAATCATTTTACTTAGCAAAAGACCGCCATTATTTGTCCTTGATAGACTCTTTCCCTACGCTTCATTTATCCTACAACAAAATTTTAATGTTTTTTTTCATTCATTTTTTAACTGCTTTATTTCTTTCAAACATCAAATGCTTGAAAAGAAGAACAAACTCAGAAATAAGATGACCAAACATAAATCCAATAACCATGGAGAAATGATAACAGGAAAAAAAAAAAAGATGGTAAATAATATGGATATACCGGATGATAGAATAAACCGCAGTGCTAAACACCTATTAAATTAGGTCGCAAAGTCAATGACGCTCAAAAATGGAATTGAGGTCATAGACGGGGATTTATTCGATCATTTTAATACCAGTTTTTTAAAGTTTTTGAGTCTGCTTAATTTGCAGTAATGAGTTACAGCTAAACTGCATCTGTACGATCATTATTGATTGAACACCACTGTGTAGCTGCAGTTGCAGTTTGTTTGTTGTAGTGACTAAAACTTCAAGCAGAAACCTGAACAATAAAGAGCAAATACCATCCTTTGTTCTACAGATATCTCCTGCTTAGTTGCTCAGTATTCTTGGCTTAAAATGGTCAAATTTTCAAAACATTTAGTTTATATGCATCGTACAGCAGTATACAGCAGTAGCCTTATTTTGTTGTAACGATAGAACTCTCTTTCTCTTTAATAGTCACACAATAACGCTTACAAAAGTACAGTTAATTTTGTCCAATACAATGACCATAAATATTTTAAATGTAATATTTTGATTACTTTTTTCAACAATTATTTTTTACAAATAAATAAAATTGGTATTCTTTTTTCGTTTTGAATAAATCTGATGTATAAAGATCACCGATAAGTATAGCAATGGCAACATTTTGAATTTTTTTTTTGTATTTGTACAAAAATGAACCATTGAATAGAGTTTGATGTAAACAATTGATACACGTTTATTAATTTGACATTGTTTAAAGTGTTCATACCATTTAAAGCTATTTAGACAAAACAAACGATTAAGACAAACGGTTTTTCCCATTTTTTTTTTCTGTTGCTTTTAAACAATTCACTCTCTTTACAAAAAATTGTGTAAATAAAAACCAAACAAAAAAAAAAGTTAAATGAAAAAAAAAAAGCAAATGGAGTTTACTTAATTAAATAAT